CCCTCTCAAACAGGCGTATTGGTCAAAAAAACAATAAGTACATGCAGAAAGCGTTGATGGAGAACGAAACTCATCTCGAATTTTCGGAAGATTTCTCGGTTCGGATATTGTAAGTTTCATGAAAGGGATCCAGTCGTCTCCACGATAGCCCCAAAGGCTGCGCCGCTTGACGATCTCTATTTGCCTCACGAAGTTGCCTTGAGCCTGTTTCTGTAGGCGAGTTCAGCCACGGTGTACCTTGTGCATAACTATGATGCATACGTTTAACTGATCCGCAAATGCATCCATGTCCGACTCATCAAAGCCGCGAGGGACGGCGACATAGAAGTAAGGAAGGAAACCGGTGACATATGCGAGCACGCTGTTTCCGTCCTGCAAGGCTATTTGAGAGCTGCGTGAAGGCGCAAGTATAAAGGAGGTACCTCGGTCACCCCAAACAACCTCAGTACGATAGACCCATTGCTGTAGTCCGTTGCTTCATCGATATCGATTTGCTGAAATACTGTAAGGGGTAGCACCGTGAGTTGATGAATGTGAGGCAACACGTGTACACACCGATACTATTCCGCTTCTCATTAATGGAGGGAAGATTGGGACGGGCCCAGCTATCAGCCCCACCCTCAGCAGCTGTTCAAACTATTAATAATCAAAGTGCTGGAGAATTCTCCATGCTACATACCGACACCGTCATGTGCTCTGTCCTGACTCAGCTGTTCCAATACGTCTGCAAAGGACGAATCATGCGTTTTCTGGGAATTGGATGGGCCTAATTTGCGCCTTTTCGCGGCAGGTTCTGAGCTTACATCCGGCTTGGTGCTGTTAAAACATATATCTGAGTAAGAACGTTCGTGACGCGCTCTGATCCTTACCGCGTGCGCGCCATTGGCTGATTTTGCCGTGTGGAATTCGTCGGGCCAACCATCGTCACGTCTCAGTATATGAGAGAAAGAGTGCAGACAACGGCGTGCCACAAACGTGTCGAGCAATAGTCACTGACAAGACTTAGAGGGACGCGTTTTGAATAGAATCACGTATGGTCGTATTTGTTCGCTTATGTACACAATTCGTCATGTCCAACGAACAATGACCATCTCTGAGTTAACTACTAGTCCGCGTACAGTAACGAAGAATCATTGGTATAATTGTAACTGTTATCCCTAATTCTACGCGAGCCCATGGGCTTTGAATTTACAACTCTACAAAACTTTCGAACTTACATCGAGCACTTTATGACAAAAAGAGTTCTGTGCAGATTCTCATTGTATCTGCAGGACTCTTAACAGTGTGCCCAACAGTGCGAGGATCACTGAAGATCTCGTAGTCGTTACCCCCCTTTACAGAAATTGTCAAGGAGACGAAATTTCGCCTAGTAAGAAACTCGACTCTTACCTTGTTTGTTTTGTCCCCGAAAAAGTGGATTTCTTCGAAGTTATCTTTCTCCACATGTCTAAGGCAGTAAGTCTTGTCCCACCCGTGCGGAAAGACATCAAATGATATCTGGCCGCCGATAGAGAACGTTAGATTCAGTCGTTTGAATTTCTCCCGGAGGATTTTCACAAAGTCGGCCCTAACGTGATGTTCCTGCCGAGAATCAGTGAGTATGATCACGAATAATTTTCTTATGTCACTACCTTGTCATAAGCCGCGAAATCATTGCGTTCCTGGACACTGTGGAACCCAGAGGTGTTAACACAGGTTCAGGGAATAGCACGTAAGTGAACCTACGTTGCATTGCGACCAATAGGGCTGACGTTGATCATACCATTGCGGAACTCGACGAACGTTCCACTGCAATTTGCAAGTGAATGAATTGATCGACAGCCAAGGATCATAGAAATTCACCGTTTGATCGGGATGTTCATGTCAGCAATGTAGTGCAAGATGAAGTTGACCAGCTCCTGATAGTCCTTTTCGCCTACCATTTTGATGAAGGACTGCGATTCTAACGGCTTTCCAAGTCGGTACGCGGTAAGGCCGTTCTCAGCGAACCCAAAGTCGAACTCCTCCAGAACTGCAAATACGTATGAGTATCTTAGCAGTCAATGGGACGAGCTTCGCACCTTTAAAATCGCCAACACTGAGCTGTTCAGATATCTTGAGGAGATCAGACCCGCCAACAAAGCCTATAGCGACCTGCTTTCTGAGTTCGCGCAGGAGCCTAATTATTTCTGGAGATGCCCCCTGTCGGGAGATTTCGACATCAAGCGTGGTAGTTGTTGGTGGGCTGGATTACCTTACGTGGGGGCGATAACGTGTCATCGACATCGAACAGCACGAGCTTCTTGACTGGCCGTTCAGCGAAGTCTGCAGACACCATGATGGTATGGTTGTAAGACTATTTTGGTGGCCAATCAGTCTAGGTGCTGAATTCGGTTATCTCCGAAGTAGTATGGCACTATGTTACGTATGTAGCATTTGTTGGTACAGTCATCTTGACGGGTCCGTGGCTTGCCCTATATTACCATAGTTTTTGCTCAGATCTTATTAACAGACTCATAACAAAACCAGCGCAAATGGCCCAGAGATACCATGTCTTTTCGCTCCCTCCCGAATTGCTGGAGACCCTTACACCTCGGAATCTAATCAGTCGACCACCACCCCCGGAAGCCTCGACTCTCGTACAAACAACTCCTCCAGTATCAGACAATGCGAGAGCGTGTAACATTTGTCTCGGAGCGACCTTTGCAGACGTAACTGAGCAACGATCTCATTTTCGATCCGATTGGCATCGATACAATGTAAAGATTCGCCTGAGGGGCGGCAGCCCTGTGACGGAGCCAGCCTTCGCACAGCTTGTTGACGGTAGGCACTTCCAACTATTCGTCATTCACTTTGACGAAGCCTGTCTTGTATAAGCTAGGACTTGAAGATTCCATTTCAGGGTCTGCATCATCCGACGAGAGTTCTGATGATTCTGATGCAGTCAAGGCCCTCGTCAGCAAAATCAAGCGAACGTCGAGATCACCTTCGCCCAGTGAGGAGCGTAAAACACCACTTACAGCGGTTTCTTGGTTCCATTCGCCTCCATCCACTCAATTCGGGGTGTACAGGATGCTATTTCCAATAGATACCCCTCCTCCGTTGTACTTGGCGGAGCTGAAGAGCATTCAAGGACGTGTGAAAGGTGGACGCAAGTGGGCTTTGTTTATGGTTGCCGGAGGTCACTTCGCAGGTGCAATAGTAGAAGTCAGTAGACCTGCAGAAAACCAGGATTCCACTGTCTCTGCAAAGGCGAAGAAGAAACCGCCAAAACCCAAGCCAGAGACATCAATTTTGAAACACAAGACATTTCACCGATACACTAGTAGGTGTATTTATGATCGTCTTATTCGTTAAACTGAAAATTTGCGTCTAGCTCGCCGTAAACAGGGTGGCTCACAATCGGTAAATGACAATTCCAAGGGTGCTGCCATTAGTGCAGGTGCCATGCTTCGTCGTTATGGCGAGCAAGCTCTCCGAGATGTGAGCGAGTCTCACTTTTGTTCGCTATAGCTAAACATACCCTCCTAGGATATTCGCAACCTTCTTCTTGACTGGGCTGATGACATTCAGGACTGCGAAAGAATTTGGTTACGTGCGAGTGTCTCTAACAGGCGGATCTTCCTCGACTACGAAAATTGCGTCATCAACAAAGGAGACGATCGTTTGAGGACCTTCCCTTTTCCAACGCGCCGACCCGTACGTTTTCTCTGCCGCTGTCACTTGCACGATTCTTAGTATTCTACTTTGCAGACTCAATCTGAGCTTGTGCGATGTCTTCTGGAGCTTACCCAAGTGAAAACATCACACCTTACAGAGGAAGCGCTTCTAGCGCAGGACGAAGCGTTCCTCGCCTCCTTGCCCAAGCCTAAAACTACACCTTTCACTGCGCCCACCGCGGCGCCTGAAAAGGCAAAACCACAACGATTGACTAAAGAGGAGGAAGCCTACCGCGAGAAGTGGTCTCGGTTACTAGATATGATCAGCAAAGGTCGTTCAGAGCCTCTCAGATCCTTCTGGGAGCGTGAAGGCGCTTCACTTGGTGGCGTCGATGCCCTCATACCAGAATGGACAGGGGATAGGCGCGCATCGTTACTCCAGGTCGCTGTGCAATCAGGCCACGAAGACGTTACACGCTTGCTGCTGTATGATTTGCACGCCGATCCAACCATTATCGTTCCGTCTTCAGGCGTACATCAGGAAGACAAAGCTGCCAATGAATCTGATGCATCAGACGCGCCTCCTCTACAAGGTGCAGGTTCGCGCCGTACTGCCTACGACTTGGCCCGTACAAGAGCAGTCCGTGACATCTTCGCCAGTGTGCGGGGGATCACCCTGACTGGTGGGACTGGTTTGGAGCGGCACGTGTTCCGAGCACCTTCAATAAGGAAAAGGAAGACGCGAGGGATGAGAAGAAGAAACAAAGGAAGAAAGGCCTGAAAGAGAAAATGCGGAACGGGAAGCCAGAGAGAGAGAGCGGGAAGGTAAACAGCCTGACATGGATAATGAACAGGTGGAGACAAAGTCAGAGCCTCACTCTCAAGACCCTACGGCTCCCCGAAAGCTCGGAGGTTCGTCCGGCGCAGCCGATAGCGTCCTTGGCTTAACTGTTGAGTTGAGAGCAAAGGTGGAGCGGGAACGAAGAGCCCGAGCGGCTGAAGCACGGTTGAAAACTCCTCACCGGAGCACGACAGTAGATGTAGTTGATAATTTTATCAGCTATGAAAAATAAAATGAATGAGAATGACTCGTAGTATTGGGCCACATCTAGGATCCCTGCCCTGGCCAACAGACTCTGGTGACTGCACTGCTGAGGTATGAGTAGCCTTTTGTTGACGGACTCTGCCGTGGGGTTAAGGATCCGCACGGGTTGGGGTACGGGTAGGGGTCGTGATTCTAAAACCCCCGCGCTAACCCGTACCCCTGGCATACCCGTGCCTTCCTAATATGGTAATTTGTTTAGCGCTCAGTTGTACAAAGTGCTACTGCTCTTCTTCATATTCTTAGATCTTATTGTTGCTGACTCTAATGTTGCTCTCAAAAGGTGCGTTTTAAACATCTATGTATGTATGTATGTATGTACATTACTTACAGGTGTTTTCACATACCGGGCACTTATCTGCGCGCACAGCGCCGCTATCCAACCTCATCCTCGTTCTCGGACACAGAGTCAACGCCTTTCTTCTCGCACTCGGCGCACTAGGAGTATCAGAGTTGGAGAGCACGGTTTTTTTGTGAGTCGTCTTGTTTCAAAACTGTTTCTCATTTTCAAACCAAACCTGACACCCACAGTATCTCTCAACCTCGTACATCTCGCATCACACCCTATCCTCTGCACTCGTGCCACACCTCGCTGGCCATTCCCCTCCATCTTCTTCAACACAACGCCTGTCTTCGAGGGGGATTGTGGGTATCTTTCTCTAAGCTGTAGAGGTGCATGTATTGTACGTTTTGATGCTGCTTCGCTACGCTACCGCGCTCACCTACCTTGTGTGCCGCAGCCGTGTCCTGCTCTCAGGTGGTGCGTGACCTCGTATTCTGACCTGCTTACCTGACACTGATAGTGCTGCGGCCGCGACGCTGATGTGCTCAGACCGTGTCCTGCTTCAAGTGGTGCGTGACCTCGTCTTTTGACCTGCTTGCTCGACGCTGATGGTGCTGCGGCGGCGTGTCCCGCTCTTCAGCGAGTGCGTAACTTTGTCCTCTGACCTGCTTACCCGACGCTAGTGGTACTGCGGCCGTGTCCTGCTCTCAGATTGTGTGTGACCTCGTCTTTCGAACTTCTTAGCAGACGACACACCGACAATCATTAGTGCACTGGCGATTCGAGCACGAGGGTATACGAATGGTGCTCGACTATTTGACCATCCTTGGTAAGCTTTAATCCGCATCATAAATAGCTAACTGGTTACCAACAGCTACATCTGTTGACGTCGAACGGCTATTTGGTCGTGGACATCTCTTACTCTCCCATGTCCGCTCACATCTCTCAGCCCAATCGACTCACGCGCTACTTGGCCTCGGCTCCTGGAGCACCCTCAATCTTGTGAAGACCGAAGATGTTATAAAGGTTAGCAATATGCCTGATGCCAACGGGGAGGAGGAAGAGTTCGAGGACGGCTGGGACTGCATTGATGTTACTGACCAGTAACTACTTGTGTGTGTGTCGTAAAGTATAATGCATTTTTTTGACTACTGACCTATGGTGGTCCCCAATGAGTCTGGGTGAGGTATGAAACCTGTACCCCTTGTTGGGGTGTGGGTGCGAGTGAGACCTCCAACACCCCAGGGTATACCTGTGCAGATCCCTACATGGGGCACAGTGCTTCATTTCTAGTGTGGATACTATCCCCTATAGTCTATTTGTGAGTGCCCATCATTTCGTGAGTCACTTTTTAAAATGTGATGGTTTGTCACGTGATGTAATGGTAAGTCATGAAAATCTCTGCGAAAAGTGTGACTCACAAAATAGTGGGCACTCGCAAATAGACCATAGGGGATAGTACAGATGACTTCTAAGACTTTGGGATTTGCCAAGCCC